GGGGCGGCAGCGGCACTGGCGGTGATGGCAGGCATCGTGATTGACGTTGGATCTACTGCGGGGGACATTCTTTTAATAAAGGACTTGTCAAAGACTGTGTCCTGTCTTTTTTCACACTACATTTTTTTTTTTTGTGATGAATGAGTAGGGGTACCATGTATGGTTCAGGGGGCGCTCGCCCCCCCCCCTTTCTGACCTGCCGGGCTGCATGCTCGGATAAGGGTCTGGTGTGGATTTTGAGGGGACCCCCACGCCTTTTTTTTTTTTAAATTCTGGCGAGGGAGTTCCCCCCCAAATCCATACCAGACCTGAAGGGGGGACCCCACGCCGTTTTTTTTTTTAATTTATTATGGTGCTGCTTTTTAAATGTAAAAATGTAATTTTTTTTCTTCACTATAGCTCAGAAATTCAGCTGACACTTCCCCCTAGCTAAACGAAAGATTTATTTTAGTTTATTTCCCTGAGTTAAGAGAAACAATGTTTCTTTTTTAGTCTCTTAAAAGAAACAAAGTTTCCATTAACTCCGGGGAAAGTGACGGCTAATTGTGTGAGCTATAGTGAAGAAAAAAAAAAATCTGGCAATTGCATTTCAAAATCAGTACTCACACTTTGTATTGTGAAAACAAATTCATAAACCGAGGCATTATTTTCAATGGATTTTCATTTGTAAACAGAAAATTACGTTAACCGAGGCGTTTGTAAACCGAGGTATTAATGTACACACACACATACATATATATATATATATATATATATATATATATATATATATATATTACACACACACACACACACACACACACACACACATATATATACATACATACACACACACACATACATATGCACACCATAGTTTGTAGATGCTATAACTTTCACACAAACTAATATACATGTATTGGGATTTTTTTTATTTTTTTTTTTACCAAAGACATGTAGCAGAATACATTTTGGCCTAAATTTATAACTGAGTTTACAAAAAAATTTTTTATAACCGACAGTAAAAATGATCTTCTTTTTCAAAATTTTTGGGGTTTGTTTATATCACTAAAAACAAAAAAAAACAATAAACAATCAAATACCACCAAAAGAAAGTTCTATTTGTGTGAAAAAAAGGACAAATTTCATTTGGGTGCATGACCACGCAATTACCAGTTGAAATAGCGCAGTGCTGAATAGCAAAAAATGGCCTGGTCATTAAGGGGGGTAAATCTTATGGGGGGCAAGCGGTTAAATTGACACCAAAATCATACATCAGCTATAAAAATAAACTATATAGATAAAAACAGTTGTCCAATCCTAATTGTCAGAACATTTAAATGTCTATTCCTGCGATAGAACAAAAAAAAAAATTGATCTATCAAGAGAAACAAGAATCACTTAGTGTTTCAGCCCCTGAGGAATGCTCATTTTCAAACTGTTATCTTTAGGGAGATGCATATTTTCCTTTAAGAATCTACAGAGAATCAATTAAACAGTCTTGCTCCTTATTAGCTGTAAACAGTGCACATAATGGTACACCTACAGATACCACTATACACAGGGGTTATTAGTAAGATCCTTTTGACCTTCATTATCCAAGGGTCTTAAAATTAGATCTGTCAGCACAACCTCAACATGAATAAAAAGAAAAGAAAAGAAAAAAAAAAACACAATAATTTTATGTGGTTCAAACACAGGCCAGTTATAGGGCAGTTTAGGCACTGTTAAGCTGAGAATACATGTTTCTATCTTACTGTACAATGTCCTTTAGACCTACCAACAACTATATAGTACAAGTACCTACCTGACTGGATGCAAATTAAATCGATTGTTTTGATAGAACCTGTACTATATAGTTTGATCTTAATGGGATGAAACAGAGATTGTGCAAACAGACTAACATATAGCCAGCTTTAGACTGGTAAAACATTATGCAAAATACAGTATTTAAATACTTTTCAATTCCTTGCCCTGCAGTAAGTATACAGTTTAGGAAAGTCAGGAGTCCTTATCTGTATACTTGTCCTGGGTTTGTGATAGGCATCACAAGGGTTTGAAAAAATGAAGTCAGTAACGGCAGGAAGGCATTCCCTTTCATGCGAACACAGCAGTGCAAAACTGATGTTTCTAATCCTTCCTTACTATATCTCAGTAAAGTTAAAGTGATTGTAAAGGAAAATGCTTTATTTTGTAAAAGATGTTATGCTTACCTTCTCTGTGCAATGGTTTTGCCCAGAGCAGCCCCCAAATCCTCTTCTTCTCGGGACCCCCCCGCCAGCGCGTGTCTTCTCCCCCTTGCGGAGTGCCTCCTTAGCAAGCTGCTTGTTTTGGGGGCACTTTATGCGTGCTCCCTCTCAATTCAGTGTGGCTGGGCCCCACCCCGCCCCTCACTCCTGCATAACTGACTGTGATTGACAGCAGTGGGAGCAGTGTCTGAACCAATGAGGAAGGAGAGCGCCAGGAGAGCCCCTGCTCTCATTTCATGCACATTGTGAGATCAAGATCGGGGTCTGGGTGAGTATGGGGGGGGGGGGGGTCTGCATGCGGAAGGTTTGTTTTTTACATATATGTACAGAATTTGCCTCTAGAACCACTTTAAAAAAAAAAAAAAGTTAGATATGTCAAAAAAAATCATTAGTACACCCCCTACATAAAATACTAAAAAGAGTTAATAACATTTTGAGAATCCTTACCATTTAGGAGAAAAGTCTAATTGAATTTTCATGACCTCATATATGTAAATCAAAAGATAACAGAATATGCTCTGCCAAGGAGGAAGGTGTAACAGCAGGGAATACATCATAGCCTCCCCTCTCTCTCTACAGTAAAAGGAAACTACAGTTCCCATCAACCACAGGGAATTAGAGTAAATATGGGTGGGTACACTAGGACTGTACATGCTGAATATGTCTGAGAGTCTCGATCCCCAACCACTGCAAGTGGGGCTGAATTACATCACTGCGTCCTGAAGAACTACAGGAGGGATGTGCCAAGACCAGTGGCTCGGGGAATAGGAGGCATAGCAGCCACCGGTCTTACAAACAGGAACCCAAAGTGAATTAATGGCATTATTTGAAAATGAATAGGCTCATTCAGCTACTGAGAGAACCAGAAGATGGATGACATATTCACTGAAAATAAGAAATCAGCAAAGGACATGTAAAGAAGTTTTTTCCTGGAGTTCTGCTTTAAAAACATTCAGACACAGGATCTGACCATCTAGGGCTGCAGTCTCCCAACAATAACCCTGTGAAAGGATATCTGTACATGTATCAAACTGCCAGTGTACAAAGTCCAGACACACAACAGCTGCAGACGTTCATAAATGTGGTCAATCTGTCACCATTTAAATTGTTCCTACGTTGATGAACAAGTCTGGCTAAGATGTCTGATGCCAAGAATTTTGAGATTTGCCTTTATGCATTTTAAAGTTCACCTATGCAAAGATTACGCACATAGAAAGTATTTTCATAAAATAAACAGTAAACGTACTTTAAAACAAGCCATAATTACCTCTGTTGTTATAGGCATTGTGGAGACATTCATCCTCAAAATTTTACAAAAGAGGCGATGACCGCCGCTCCTCTCTGTTATTTTCTATGGCAGCAAAAAACTAAACGGTCTGCCAGCCGACTAATATAAAATAGCAGATGCTTGTAATCTGCTTTGAATGGCACATCGGCATCTCCAGAACACAGCTGTCTTACAGAACACTGCAGCCCATTCAATGCAGGTTGTGATGCACTGCATAAAAATGCAGTATAACCTACACTGATCGGCCATAACTTTATGACCACGGACAGGTTATCTTGTTATAATGGCATCTGAAAGTCAGTGGAATATATTGGGCAGCAGGTAAAACTGTTGTCCATAAACACGATGAGTTAAAAGCAGAAAAAAAAGGGTATCGAAATTTGCGGTGAATGGGTGGGGTAGCCGCAGACCAATCAGGGTGTCCATGACAACCAGTGTAAAGAGACTACAATGGGCATATGAGCATCAAAACTGGACCACAGAGCAACACGCTTTGGGAGATGGACTCCATTCCTCAGAGCTGACCTCCCATCTTCCAAAACGTGTCAGCTATTCCAATTGGGCAGCTGTTGGGACAGGACCCCATTTTCTGGGACATAAAAAATCTGGCTCTATGTCTGTTTTTATGTTTGCTTGTGAGTATCCATTTGTGATCTATTTTTATAATAAATCTGTTATCACAGTAATTCATGAGGAGAGTGCACCCTCTTGTGTTTTTTTTTCTTGACAGTTCCTAGATTCCCCGATCTGGAGGGCTGCACCACATCAAGTGACAGATACCGTGTGTTATTGAGGAGTACCAAGATTCGGACGCTGTTGTTTTGACCTTAAACCTAACATCAGAGTCTCAGTTGTGATCTTTGATGGCTCGTTCACGCTATGTGTGTCGAATGGAGTTCTCCTGCACTGGATTAATGCCAGTCACCACAAGGGCACACAGAAAACAATTGCAAACAATTCATAAATACAATTACAGCACAATTATTAAAAATGGTTTATGGAAATTTTAGAAATATTGTCTTCGTTCTAAAACAAAGTGCAAGCAAAAATGTATCAAACTACACACTAAAGTTTTTATTTATTGTATAGTGTTATGAAGGCATGGACATATTCTCTGGATAACAAGCCGACAATGGTTACAACAGTTGGCAAAAAATATTCTACATATTCTTTGCTAACTATAGTAAATCTAGGTCGGTCACACACGGGCATATCAATAGAATGGTTTGCCAGCAATCTCATTGTCTACCAAATTTAAAATGTAAAATAAACTAAGTTGTTTTCTGATACAATTTGCGATATTGCACTTCGCTCTTGGCCTTGTAATAAGGAACAGTTGTATTCACCAATTGTTCACATGCCAAGTATATGTACAGTACCTACAAACAAATCTAAACTCAGCACAGCTTCAGTGATAGGCCTTTGGGTCTATTACATGTCCACATATAAGCAGCCTTTGTTTACAGATAAAAGTATTTACTCACCAAAATAAGTCCTGAAATGAGGGAGGATGTACCCGTCAGAGCAACATAAAATTTAGGGGTTAACGTATTCAAAAACATGCTCACTGAAAAAGAGAAGAAAGACAGGTATAAATCCTTTGTGAAATACAGGTTTTCCTCAACAATGTAATCATACTTCAACACAGTGTCTATTGTATTGGAATTCTCACTTATAACATTTTATTTGCGTATTGTTATTTTCTTTTGACAATTGAATAAAAGCTATTGAAAAGAAAAAGATTTCTCAACCAGAAAAGGAAATTGTTTACAAAAAAAAGGCAACATTAGTAAAATCTACTTCAATAAAAAAAAAAAAAGAAAAAAAAAAAAAAAGAAAAAAAAAAAAAAAAAAAAAAAAAAAAGGAAAAAAGAAAAAAAAAAAGGAAAAAAAAGAGAAAAAAGGCAAATAGCTTTTCAGTAGAACTCACTTTTCAGTTCACCATACTTTACAAGGCTCAGGGTTAGCCCCTCTTTCTCAGCTAGGCTTTTTGGAAGCACCGTGAAAATATCCATGAAAGTTTACATTCTAGTGGATATCAGAACCAAAAATCTGCAATCCTTTCAGATCTCCAAAACACTTACAACCTCCCTACGTGGGCCTTTTTCAGATACTTACAAATTCGCCACTATGCTCAAACCCTGACTGGTCCACTCCAATTCCCTGAGCTTATGTTGTTCAAGCCTAGGTGTTCCCTCGAGTAAAGGGTAAATTTCACAAATTAGCAAAGTGCTGTTTCCCTTGCTCTCCCCATGTTCATCGAAGCACTCCATATACAAAAAAGTGAGAACAAATACTGGGGGCAGAATTACCCTTAGAGACCTGACAAATCACATGGTCCAAAGCCTGTAAACGTTCAATATACATAACACAGCATATGTACAAAATACTGTAACATCATATACATGTTTTCATTGGCACTACACACCAGTAAGAGCTCTAGGCCCTTCTGCTGATGACAGATGATAGAGATGCAAGGGTCTAGCAATAATTCAACATATATATTTGAATTACTGGTAAGCTGTTCAGACCCTAATCCACTTTTGACACCAGATCCCAGCTGCAATCAAAATATACCTTTTAGGTATATCTCCTACTGCTTTCTCTAAAACATCTGCTGGCTCATATCCTTACAGCAGCAGACATTCAATGGAAGAGATGTGAACGGATCTTCACACCAGGAGCAAGAATGTCAAAAGGTTGGAATATTGGTTACTATCAACAACTCTGTTGATAAGCATAATAACGTTTGGCAACTGTGGCATATCCTGGAGTACCCCTTCCCCTGTCCCCATGTCCTTACAACCTCACAAATACACGCTTGCTTTGGGTGGTGAGCGGATGGGGATTGAGCCCAGGATGGTGATCAAGGACATCGGCTCTCTACTTCCTCTCTCCTCCTCCCTAATACCACTTTTGCTTCTACACCTATGTTCTCCTTTCTACTCTTTCCCCTCTAAACAACTACTGCAATTAGTTTTGCAAAATTGTACTACTGTCTTTACTTATTTAAATCATACTACAGACATCTTTGGCAATACAATGGCACTTGCTGACTGTGATGCCTAGTTACTGTACTTACTCATTATTATACAGGATTTATATAGCGCCAACAGTTTGCTCAGCACTTTACAATATAACGGGAGACAATACAGCAACAATACAGTTCAATACAAGAGAGTTAGGAGGGCTCCTGGGAGCTTACAATCTAAGAGACTCAAAGTGGAACTTCATTCTTTCATACAACATGGACTATTTTTAATCTTTATGCTGTTAGTATTAGTAAATAGTTAGGAAAGTATATCATATTTAAATGTTTTAAACTTTTTTTTTTTTTTTTTTTTTTTTTTTTACATTTCTTCAGTTACTTCCTGGTCTCCACGCCTAGGCAAATGATGTCATACATCCTAAAAGTCTTCAGGAGGGGAGGGAGGGTTCCCAGCTCAACCAATGCCTGAGCAATGGGAAATAGCTGTCTACTAACACAGTGGTAGGTAGGACCCAGATGAAAGTGACTGCCACGGAGACCGGGGATCAGCAATGGTTCACCCGTTTCCAGGGCAAACACTCTTCATCAGAGCCAAAAAAGTTAGGACCCAAATGTTATTTACTAAAACTGGAGAGTGCAAAATAAGGTTCACTTCTGCACAGAAACCAATTAGATTCTAACCTTAGATTGTTCAGTTAAGCTTTGGCACTAAAACCAGGAAGCGGATTGGTTTCTATGCAGAAGTGAGCCTGATTCTGCACTCCCCAGCTTTAGTAAATAAACCTCACTGCTCTTGAAATTGCTAGGTAACATGCTGAAGCCCACATGTAGAAGGTCAAAAGTTAAAAGCACTAAAAAAAAAAATACTATAAAGTGTTGGCATGAAGCCAGTTACATATCTTCAGGTTGACTAAACATGGTGAATAATGTCCTTAAATTAACTGGATGTCACTATGTATAGAAATAGGCTCACAGTCACTGCTACAAAAAAGTCAGAAAGCTACGGCACATGAAACAAAGGTGTTAGGCAGGGCTGTGCATTACTTCATACAAACACTCAAGGCTTTAAGTTCTAATCTGGTTAAAGCTGTATTAAAATGTAAGCCAATTACTAAACAACATTATCCAGGGTGTATTTAAAAAGTATTTAGCAGGTTTTTGTTTTTAATAGCACTATATCTCTTTCACGTCAAAACTCTCCTTCAGTAAGATCATGTATGTTTTTCCATTAAATCAAAATAAGCAAACTATGTGGAAATGTATTCAAATTTAAAGATGAACTCCAGGCAGATGGCTATACACATACAGCAGATGAAATACATACACATTTACCTGCCAAAAGATTTGTATATCTGTCGATCCAGTACTGATTTACACTTTGACACAGGCAGGCGGGGTAACTCTACCCACAATATCAAAAACTGTTGAAAACTACAAATACATAACTGACAGCGTTATAGAGCATTGGGAACTATCAGTTGTGTATTTGCAGTTTTTAACTGGTTTTTTTTTATACATTTTTGATATTGTGGTTAGTTACTCCTTAATAATTGGCCCCTTAAGAGTGTAACATAGAAGATCGGTAACTATTACTATGCATTGTGTATTTGTAGTTTTGGATGGTTTTCTGATATTGTGGGTAGAGTTACCCTTTAATATGTACTGGCCCTTTAAGAGTGCGATATAGAAGATCGGGAATGATTAAGTGTATATTTGTAGTTTTCAGCTTGCTAAGATGGGGGTTTACTGATTTATTTTGCAGTATTAGATCAACAAATGTCTTTTAGAATGCTATGTTGTATTGTAAGATTAAGTGTTCAGAGTATACATTTCAAGTCGGTCACGACGCACATCCTTCCGCTCCTGGAGGACATTGGTTGACAAAACGCATAGGGCGGGGCCTCGGAGGTGATGTCACCATGTATGGGTGAGCTGCCGATGTCAAACAGTGATCAAAGCAAACCTATGATCAACATTGTTTTATGTGCTATAAGCTAGTGTCGGCTGTGACACTTTTCAATGTGAGTGGATCTGAAGCTTTTTAACTTAATAAAATGTGTGGATGGTTTTATGCTATGTAGATTCCTCTTTCTCTCCTTTATGATCCCATTTGAGTGCATGAAGATTTAAATCAAGTTGTAATAGTCAGCGTGTGCCTCTGCAGATCGTTGTTCCCAGAGCCAAAGCACTTTCAGCTGGCTTATAACTTTACCAGCATGGAGCTCCAGTGAGTATATTTAATTTGTTTGGTGGTGGATTTCACGTGGTGTTGGATTATACAACACAGAAGGTTCAATTACAAGAAGAATTTCTGAAGAATATGAAAATATATATATATATATATATATATATATATATATATATATATATATATATATATACACAGTGGGGATCGAAAGTTTGGGCACCCCAGCTAAAAATTTGTATTAATGTGCATAAAGAAGCCAAGGAAAGATGGAAAAATCTCCAAAAGGCATCAAATTACAGATTAGACATTCTTATAATATGTCAACAAAAGTTAGATTTTATTTCCATCATTTACACTTTCAAAATAACAGAAAACAAAAAAATGGCGTCTGCAAAAGTTTGGGCACCCTGCAGAATTTATAGCATGCACTGCCCCCTTTGCCAAGCTGAGACCTGCCAGTGTCATGGATTGTTCTCAACCATTGTCTGGGAAGACCAGGTTATGTCAATCTCAAAGGTTTTAAATGCCCAGACTCATCTGACCTTCCCCCAACAATCAGCACCATGGGTTCTTCTAAGCAGTTGTCTAGAAAACTGAAACTGAAAATAGTTGACGCTCACAAAGCTGGAGAAGGCTATAAGAAGATAGCAAAGCGTTTTCAGATGTCAATATCCTCTGTTCGGAATGTAATTAAGAAATGGCAGTCATCAGGAACAGTGGAAGTTAAAGCAAGATCTGGAAGACCAAGAAAAATATCAGACAGAACAGCTTGCAGGATTGTGAGAAAAACAATTCAAAACCCACGTTTGACTGCACGATCCCTCCAGAAAGATCTGGCAGACACTGGAGTTGTGGTACACTATTCCACTATAAAGAGATACTTGTACAAATATGGTCTTCATGGAAGAGTCATCAGAAGAAAACCTCTTCTACGTCCTCACCACAAAAATCATCGTTTGAACTTTGCAAATGAACATATAGACAAGCCTGATGCATTTTGGAAACAAGTTCTGTGGACCAATGAGGTTAAAATTGAACTTTTTGGCCGGAATGAGCAAAGGTACGTTTGGAGAAGAAGGGGCACAGAATTTAATGAAAAGAACCTCTGTCCAACTGTTAAGCATGGGGTTGGATCAATCATGCTTTGGGGTTGTGTTGCAGCCAGTGGCACAGGGAACATCTCACGAGTAGAAGGAAAAATGGATTCAATAAAATTTCAGCAAATTTTGGATGGTAACTTGATGCCATCTGTGAAAAAGCTGAAGTTAAAGAGAGGATGGCTAATGATCCTAAACACACCTCGAAATCCACGGGAGATTACATCAAGAGGCGTAAACTGAAGGTTTTGCCATGGCCTTCACAATCTCCTGACCTCAACATAATTGAAAATCTAT